ACATCTCTTGACTGTATGCCACTGTGTGCTCTGCACTTCTCCCACATTTCATGTATGTTTCTACAATAACAATTCCGTGCTAACTGTTCCAACATGAGTCCAGGTTTCCCGTAGCGTGGGGTGTCCCGTGCCGCTGACCCTCGGCTAAGCGGTGACACGACATTGTTTTTCGCTGACGTGTGCGACTGAACCGAGGCCTTTCTGTTTGAACCGAGGCCGCTCCTGTTAGCTTTCCCAGCCACCCATGCCCCATTACCCAGTCCCGTTCCCCCTAAATGCCCTCCGCCCAAACACAGCGAACAGTTTGTTCCTGTTAGAACTCTACATAACCTGACACAATGAGGGTCTGCATGGGGGGGTACTGTGATCATGAATCACACAAAAAAGTGTTCACTGTCGATTACGAATTTCATCAAATTCTCAGAGCTGATTATGAACAGTTACAGCTTATGTACTGATTAGGAATTGCAGATGATTTTGGGTGGTTGCCTACAGATTGCGCAGACTAAAAAGGCCTGATTATGCCTTACGAAAAAGGGCATGCATGCCCTCTTAGAACACTATACGCACAGACAAGATCTCTTCTCTAGTTCACCCGTGCCCCATCCTGACCCTAACTCGCTCTTGTGTCTCTTTTATCTTCTGGTTGTTGTCTTACGGCCTCCCTCCACAAGACAGTACAGTGGCCTTGTTACAACATTACTTGCACACAGGTCTTCTTGGTTACTGGTAGATCAAGCACTGAACATACAGCTTCTGACAGCTCAACAGTGTCACTGACGAAAGCTAGTGGATGCTACCTGAAACGTCAACCGTTTCCAAAATCATATCCAGTTGCTTGAGTAACTGTTTTTTTCTTGTGGCTTGTTTGATCAGTTTGATGGACTGGGAAGGGATATCCTAGTCCATCTCACATGCAATATTTATACACGTACGATTCTTGGTTGTTTTACTTCCAAAATCATATCCAGTTGCTTGAATAACTGTTGTTTTTTTTCTTTTTGGCAAACATACAGCTTGTTTGATCAGTTTGATCGAAGGGGAAGGTATATCCCCAGTCCATCTCACATGCAAGATTTATACGCATACGATTCATGGTTGTTTTACTTCCAAAATCATATCCAGTTGCTTGAGTAACTGTTGTTTTTCTTTTGGCGAACATACAGCTTGTTTGATCAGTTTGAGTGATATTCTAGGCCTATTCTAGTCCATCTCACATGCAAGATTTACATGCGCACGATCCACGGTTATTTTACGGCCCCAGAAATGACACAGATACAACTGATTACGCTGCTTTATTTACGACAATGGGAGTTTCTCTAGGCTTCAGAAGTAATGGACTGTAGCAGCTCTATATCAGCCATCCCCTGTAGCCAACAGTAATCATATCAACCCATCTGCCTCCCTTGAGAGTGTGTCACCCACAAAGCCAAACATGGTCAGAGATGATGAAGCCCACCACAAATTGTCACCCTGACACTTGTTAGTGGCTACTGGTTAGCCTCTACCAGGCTTGGGGAGGCGGCTGGAAAGAGTAGAAATCGGCCAAATAGAGAGATAAGCATGCCAAGGGAGTTTGTCCGTTGAGAGAACATTTGGCCTCCCCAAGCCTGGTAGAGGCTAACTACTGGTCAGTAACAGAAGCTAGTCTCTACCAGACTCTTTTGCAGGCTGAATGACTAGCAGAAATTGGACTAAAAAGAAAGTAGCTGGCCAGGGGAGTTAGCCGGCCATAGAGGGTCCAATTTTCCTGGCCAGCTACATTTTTAGGCCAAATTCGACTATTTATTCAGCCTGCAAAAGAGTCTGGTGGAGACTAGCCAGAAGCCAGAAATCTCATTATCTGTTTTTCTATCTTGATTGACAAGTTTCAAACAGTAGCCTGCTGCCTTATTACCCAGAAGTGCCTGACAGAGAACTGCCATCAGGAAGATTCTTTGGACACTCATCACTTCACAGAAGCCAGGAACATTACACAGGGACGTAGTAACTCAATTAGCTCACGGCAATCTGCGTAGGCTCTACCATACTGATTTGGGGGCTAAAAAAATAACAGATAACTGTAGGCTCCACCATACTGGTTTCAGGGATGAAAAATAACAGATAACTGACCAATCTGCTAGAGATAGCTGGTCCAAGAAAGATAATTCCGTCTCTACAGCTAATTCCTCTGGCAAATAATTTTCTGGACAAGAAGGAAAATATCTTCTAAAAAAGGCTAAATGCTAGAAATTCCACCAATGATAATAAAAGCAGATTTTCATCTTATACTAGATAATCTTTGTCACTGTAGGAAGTATGGATCATACAAAAGAAACCGTTGTCGTATTTTTCATAGGTGGTGACAGTCAGTGCATCAAATCCAAATCCACCAACCCAAATCCATGTAAAGCAAACGGTGCAGGTTAGGTGCAGGTAGACATCAGAAATACATGTACCCGCACAGCAATTTTACCTGTATATGCAGGTGGGATTTTGAGCCCTGAGACCACAAAAGCTTGCCGTGATACCGTAGATTTGTTACGAGAAGCCCCTCTTCTCTCCTCTCCCTGTTGTAATACAATTTGCGAATGTGTCTACCCTAAAGATTGGTCTGCCTGCATTTTATTCTGGTGCCAAATCATCACTTGTCCAATCTGTCTCCCGAAAGCGTGCGTGATTACTACACAGCACGTTTTTCCATCCAACCCCAGACATGTTTTCTCTATGATTGCTATAGGCTGAGTATTGCCGTCTCGGTCTGTCCAGAATTGTTATGTTTTCGGTATGATAATAAGAAGGGTGTTGAAAACCCAGGATCCCGTGTGAAGCGGAGTGTGGAAAAGCGGGACTAATACAGAGGGTTGAAACAGTAGCTGCTTTTCTAGTGAATTCTAACCCCGAGGGTACCCAATCGGCATTCCCTACAGTAGTCTAGGTGTGCTCAGCGCAGGTCTGTGCATATACTACATGCCTGAGGCCTGTGTACAGGGAGAGGCATCTACGGAATGGATGTGATTTACTTCACTGATTGATATTACCTGCCAAATATGGGAATATTCTGCTACTGTGTGGTGAATGCATGGAAAAGGGCAAACCTGCACTGGACTATGTTTAGGCATAGAAATAGCAAAATGTCTATTACAAAGTTAACTTTATTGCACCCAAATTGTACAAGGCACAAATTAACAATGTATTACATCAACTTTATAAAAACAAACATACTACAAGAATAATCTACCTTACAGTGGAGCAGGTGCCGATAATCTTCAATTTGTTAATTTTCAATCAGAAAAACGTGTTTTTCGAGCAGTCAACAGCAGTATCACAACAATCTTGTGGTTAGGAAGGACCAACAAATGTTTCTCGTCACCCTTTCACTGATCCTTCCTGCTGCCCTTTCAAGCCACCGGAATGAAAACCGTGATCCTGTTACAGTCAATGGGATCCTGTTGAAAACTGCGGACTCATATTCGGTCACCTCTGACCTACGGTTTTCTCATTAATTATCCCACGTACACAAACGAAGCTCCTATCACTTCTACAGACATAAACTTCATAGCACCCCAAAAACTGGGGGTTTTGGGGGTCTTCAGGGTCTTTGGGAGCTTTTATGTGCTATTTTCTGATTGCATATAGACAATACAGCCGGTCTGGTTGAATTACCCCCGTATTTTGGAACTAGGCTGATCAGAAAACAGCCGAAGACCACCAAACCCCCAGTTCTATAAGCCTGCTACGGAGGCTAATCAGAAAACAGCCGAAGGCCACCAAACCCCCAGTTCTATAAGCCTGCTACGGAGGCTAATCAGAAAACAGCCGAAGACCACCAAACCCCCAGTTCTATAAGCCTGCTACGGAGGCTAGCCCTAGCAACTCTCTTCATACACACACTCTTGTCAACGGCAAAGTAAACTGACTCATTTTCGAGCGAACTAATCGCAGTATTGTGGGCACTTGAGTTTGGGTTGCTAGGTTATCCACTCATGGCAGAGCACTCATGTTGTTTAAATCAATGGTGGCCACTTTGAGAGACTTTTTCCAAAAGAGTTCCCGCATATTTTAACAGTTACGTCTATGCGAATGACTGTTTTATCACATGAGGCGGTCATGAAAAATTTAGGGAGAAGCGATGAAATGAGTCGATCTGTTCCCGTTATACAATCAACAACATGGCCGCAACGGAACGATACGGTAGCAGGGGTCGTGACCCGATGAAATTGGGCCGCTCACATCTCTTGTCTCGCCCGACGCACGGTTTTCTTTTGATTAAACGTTCTGCTACCTCACGTCCCGCACATACTAAACATTGACTCACAGTAAGTTGAACACAATGTACAAATACAATCCACTCTAAACTACAGACATGTGGAGCCACAAATTTGACAGGTAATACAAGAGAAAGGAGTTTAAGTAGCGTGTTTACAGTTTGTTGTTTGGGTTCCTTTCCCCAGACATGTACGCAAAGCTATTTTGTATCTTAATCATCAGATCGAGTTTCAAAGTAGTGTCGGGATATGCCTGCTCTTTTAGGATAGGGTTGTGTACCTAAATATAGGCCGGGCATAGAACGAATGGCCAGGGTCACCCTGCAGTGTTATGTAGATGGAGGAGAGGTTGAAACGTTGAAAAGGCGCCGGGTTTGCCCATTTTCCGCTAAGCTGGTCGGCAAATTTGCCCAGGCCGAGGGTTGGGCTGCTCAACTCATTAGGGGAAAGAACAGGAACTGGCTGAAGTTTGGGTACCCGGAGTGTTTGCACAGTTTAGGAAACTGTCCCGAAGTGTGCTCTGGCTACCACCGGTCCCCCACCCTTCTTTCTGTCCTCATTAGAGGCTTGAATACCGGTAACCACTGAATTTCAAAGCTCAAGACCTAGACGGACTGGGAGAATAGAAACTAGCTGAGTTTGGGTACACAGAGTGTTTGCTCAGTAACGAAACAGTCTGGAGAGTACTCTCCCTACCACTGGTCCCCCACCCCTCTTTGTGTTCTAATTAAAGGCTTGACTAACCACCAACTTTCAAAGCTTGGGACCTGGAGGTAGAAGCAAGAAAACGAGTAAACGAGCCCCTTTTCAGAACATGAGAGGTCCTTGGATAAAGCTCCATTCAAACATGTTCTTGACACGAAGGCGAAACATCCACCCAGCCCAACAATGGGGCGGCTTTGTTGGACCGACCAGTGCTTGCACAACAGAACGCTATTGTTGGGCCGCGAAATATCAACCGTGCCTGTTACTCCGGCGCTACTCTACACGAAGGGTAAATATTGGGACTTTAAATTAAACTTGGGGGGACAAATACAAGCTCGCTGGTCAGCAAACTGCACAGTAACCTGCAATATTGCCGACACTATCTTCATGATACTGAAGGCAGTCACCACAACTGAAAGAAGAAGATTCGGAACCAAGAGGTCCCAGGTTCGAATCCTGCCATGCCACCGATCTTGTGCCCTTGGGAAAGGCACTTCACACGACTTTCCTCACTTCACTCAGGTGAAAATGAGCATGCCAGAATGATCATTATCATGGGCACTAAAAAAGAAACCAAAAACAACTGGAAGACTTACCGGTGCAGCCGTCAGTATCTGGTTCATGGCCAGGAAGACATTGGCATCCACCGGTGAACAGTGTCCACTTGCCGTCGCTGGTGCACTGTACGGTCGGCTGGGCCGAGACTTCGGCGTTCGGCACGCAAGACCCGGCCGCCTGGACAAGGGACGTCACCTCCGGTCCCGTCACCGTCTTGTTAAACGTCGCCAAACTGTGCGACACCGTCGGGCAAACCTTGTAGTACACGCGGACGGAGAGAAGCGACATGCACGCACCAGAGTCTTGGAACGCCAGGTAGAATCCGTTCTTGTTGATCGGGCCGATGTTGCGGATCTCCTTGTTGACCTCCTGCACGTTGACGTTGCTGAATCTTCCGTCCGCGGCGATCCGGTCCACTTTCGTGTACGCGGACTCGTTCCAGGCCGGATATTCGTCCGTAGCGTCGTCTGCGTCGGACTCGAAGTAGTAAAAGTCGAAGGTTTCCTTACACGAGACGACGTTCGGTATATCTCGGCACTCGCGGATTGAGAACCGGATTTCCACGTAGATTCGCTGCCCCTCCTTTTTCGGGATCCACTCCGTTCTGAGCCAGTTGTTCTGGTCTTCCCGCTGGACTTGGCAGACTTGGTACGTTCTGACCGGGTGGCCGGTTTCGGGGTTGATGTTGCTCACCTCAATCCACTGAGAAGGAAAGAAAAAATACAAGTTATCATCGGCAGAAAAACTTTACCAAAGAAGAAAACACACATGAATTTTCAATCCACTGAAAAGAAAAAAACATTGCAAAACAAGTGAAAACCATGCAGCCAAAAATCATTAGTAGAAAAACTTTACTAACTGACAACACACAGGAAGTTTTAATCCACAGAAAAGAAAAAAGAATACAAGACAAAAGGAGAGAAAACCATGCAGCAAAAATCAACTTGACATCACATTCACATTCATTAGTAGAAAAACTTTACTAACTGACGACACAGGTGTATTTTCAATCCACTGAAAAGAAAAGGAAAGAAAAGAAAAGAACAAGACAAAACGAGTGAAAATCAGCAAAAAATTAACTTCACAATCATTAGTAGACAAACTATCTGACAAGAAAGGTGTATTTTCTATTTTCGAACCATCACCTATTCATGTTCATCTCGTAACAACATGAACATTGAAAAGAAAAATAACTTCACACAAGACGAATTGCCTATTTTCAGGTCATTTGGTTCAGAGAAGCAGAAAAAAGCCGATCTGAAACAATATGTTCCTCTTCAGAGAACAACCCAGATCTGACCTGGATTCTACACACACAAACAAGCCATCAAAACTACAAAGATTACAGACCCATCGCACATAAGCACGCGGTCACAAAAACCTGTTACTTCTCATCACGCATACATCACGAGGGTAATAAAGGATCGTGAAACGCTCTTTCGGCGGGTATCACATTTGAAGAGGAGTGTTTCTGGCTTAGGGTCCGGTCCATTTCTACCCCAGCTAAGGGCATTAAAAAGATCAGTGTAACACCGACGGTGGTGTTAGTGTGGTCAGGACTATATGACTGGCATGTGATCTCAAGGTTTGATATACCGAGACAGAGCTCTAGCCAGCGCAGTTTTTCTGTCCATTGCAGGAACTTGATGCGTGATGTGTGATGGAAAAATTTTTTAACCAATCCATCAACCTAAATTGATGGACAAAGCTGACAAAAATGTTGGGTAAAAATACAAAAACATACACCAACAACCACTCTGAACCCCATGATTTGCCTTTCCAAATTTCATTTCTAAAGGTTTGAAAACCCAAAATTTGTCCCAGACCCCCCTAGATGCACTTAATTCCCCCTAGGTCCAATCATGAACCTGGGCTGATGAAAAAACTGAGCTGGCTAGAGCTCTGTACAGAAAGCATCTCCGCAGATCAATGAGAGTGTCGCCAGGCGTTGGAGCTAATTAATAGCAACTGTCAGGGATGTGTAGCAGAGGTGAGGGGAGATGACACATGGGCAGGGATCGATAAGGTGAGATGAGGGAGTGACCTGCTGATCCCGTGTACCTGTCTTCCGGCAACAATCTAGCGTGGTTTGTTACAAGCGACAGAAAGGGGGTGATAGAAAGATGGGGTGACTATCTAGTGCCCCAGGTTGGAAAATGAAGTATTTCACGTAAGGAGAGACATATTGGAGATTGGTTGTTAGATTTCAGTACCATTTTTGGCAGTTAGAATATTTTCTTGTCAATTTCCTAACGCGTCTCTATTTCTTATTTTTTTCTGTTTGTTACCAGTAGCAAGGGGGGGACAGTGGATGGAGAGATGGGGTGAATTTAGCTCCCCAGGTTGGAAAATGAAGCATTCCAAGTCAGAAGAGCGATATTGAAAATTGGTTGTTAGTTTGTAGGACCATTTTTTCCAGTTAGGCACAGAAGGGGATAGCGGATGGAGAGATGTCAGCAAATTTAATGCCCCAGGTTGGAAAATGAAGTATTCCGCCATTTCCACGTCAGGAAAGACATTTTGGAGATCAGTCATCAGATTTCTCACATCATTTCGGGACCATCTTTTCCTGTTAGGATACACTGTATTTACAGGGTATACATATACAAGATATGTATTTTCTTATGCATATTTTTTGTATAATCAAAAGTAATCATAAATTCCCTACAATTACATAATGCCAATAAGTTGCTTTATCGCAATGTGAATGCTTAACCTCGCTATCAAACTTTGAACAGTTTAGGCTTTAAATTTTAAATCTATCGACAAAAATATCTCCCTTTTCCACAGCAATAATCAGCCTTACATCAACAAATAAAGCCTTTATCAGCCGGTAACACGTCTATGTTTGCCCAGCCAGGTGTTTCAATCTTCTTACTGACAACCTCTGGAAACCTGCCAACTTTCTTATCTTTGACGAAGCACCTTGTCTCCGCGAAGACTCCCGATTGATATCTAAATTTGTTTGGGCAGATTCTTACGTTCGAAGCCACTCTTCGTAAGCAAGTCGTATGTATAAATAATCGTTCTCGATCGTTAGCGAGTCTTTGCGCGTTTATTTTCGCGATACACGGATGATCGTTTGAAGCGTAATCATTTAGGCGGCATTGATTGGTGCAAATCTGTACCGATAGTCTCCCATTTTCTGCTTAATGCCCCTCGTTAGCGGTAATTTCCGCTTTAATTGCTGCCTTGGCCTTGAGCGAGAAACGGTAATGAATTTGGGAGGATGAGCAAATCCTGATTATATCCCTCTGCTTCTGCACTGCAAACTGTCCTATGCTTTACTCGGTACAACTGTTATAGTGTTAAACCAGCGATTAGCCCATTGAACTGATTACACGTAGATGTATTCATGTAGTATGACACAATGTATATTTTTTTAAATATGTATATGTGCAATAATGCACTATTCCTCACTACATGTGGCAAATGCTTTTCCAGAACATGAAACTGTTTTTATGATAAGTGAATTTGTGTGCATTACTTTATATGCAAACTTTAAAACTACTTGGAAATTCAGACTCATTACAATTCAATGTGTACATTTTGTAAGTCTGCCAGTTAAATAAAATTCATTAATTCTGACGACTAGCTTCCCAGAATCCGAGCAGCTTGCGCTTGTTTAGATTAAAAGGTTGATTCTGCGTGGCACGAGGCGTCTTGCCGCCCAGCCACACACAGACTAGGAAGGAAGAAGAGCTTAAGTCTGTCTGAACAGACCCGGTCAGAAATGTTTTCACACCCCAACGTCCGAACCTTTCTGTGACCCTGACAAGGTTAGGAGGATTTTTTGGGTGTCGGCTAACAGTGACTTGGCCACAAGCCTAGACTTTTGTAAGTGTGATATTTCTTCTTAACCCTCTCCCTGCTGCCTCACCCCATAACCAATATGAATCTAGTGCCAGGCTACTACCTTAGCATACTGTAGGTTAAACGGCAGTGAAATTCGTTTTTGAAATCTTTGAAATTTCCTCATGACCATTTCTCACATCCTATTCTCAGACAAGAAGTCAACATCAGGCGCAAACATATGATATGCGTCAGAGGAAACACCCTACTATGCAAAAAAAAACTCAGTCATATTATTCCAGGACTTGCTGTATTCCTGGTATTGGTTCTTCGTAATTTACCAAACATATCGGAAGACTACGATTTATATCAAGACTTTCAACGCCTTTTTATCTAGGCTAAGGCGCACCAGAGGGTACCAAAAAACACTTCCATGTATCATCTTCCTTCCCCGCATATTTCACAGGATCAGGCACGGTTTCCTAGGGTTAGATCCTCCACAGATCACTCCTAATCAGGTAATCTACGGCTTCCTGGCCGAGAGATCTATCGGAGGAAAATCCAGATCTGAAGAGGATATTATTCAGCGATGATACCCATCTACAGCAGGAAGCCCTTCCCATAATCCTGTACTCAAGATCAACCAATCAAATCTCTCCTTTGTCTTAGCAGATTGGCGGGATAAGTGAGGTGGATTTTCGGAAGGTCTGCTAGATCAACCAATCAAATCTCTCCTTTGTCTTAGCAGATTGGTGGGATAAGTAAGGTGGGTGTTCGGAAGGTCTGTTAGATCAACCAATGAAAGCACCCGTAGTTTTTCCTTTGTCTAGGCTGATTGGGTGGATAAGAAGTGAGGTGGGAGTTCGGAAGGTGCGTTTGTTTGAGGGATAGACTAAAACTACAAGCCAATAAGTGGTAGTTTTAACAGGATGATATCTAAATCACGGAACCACCGTTCCCCTCCCCCTATCTAAAGCCTTCACATGACTGTGTGACGGACAACTGGGATTGAAGAGAATTTTCCGGCGTTCTTACCGCCAAGCGTTTCATTCGGAGAACGACCGAGATGTGAAACGTTTTCTGAAGGCGGAACAAACTCGCTTCTTTACAGCCGACAATAAAAACTATCCATGAAACCAAGCAACATTTTTCTCTCCGCTACGATGCTACTACACTTATTCTGCAAAAACAGGCTTCCAAGGTGGCTAGTTTTCAGCATAATAAAATTTTGTTTGCCATATAATATCTAGAATGGACATGGCTGCATTTCAGCATTATTCACTGACAATAAGTAGACAGGCAATAAACCTACTGACCTAGACCCGGTTTACACGACGACAAAAACCTGGCGTACGATAATGGCGTACGCACGCGATCGTACGACAATTGCGTACGACCATTTTTTCCAGCGTGTAAACCGGCCCCACCTATCGTACGCACCTATCGTACGCAATTTGCGTACGCCACCTCGAAGGCAGGCGTACGATCGTGTACGATCGCCCAGCGGGGAGTCAGGATGCCTCCCCGCCTCGTGTAAACGCGACTGATCGTACGAACGGCGTTCGCAAGCACTTCCCTGTTGCAGGAGGTCAGGGGTCATATGCAAATTCCATTCTTCTTCCCGCGCCTGTGAAAACCCACGCCGTGTTACTGATCTTTACTCTGTTTTCTCTGATCCGTTTCGGTTTTCCTTTTGTTTTTTATCGTATTTGATTTGTTTGTTGTTTTGCTGAGCCTGTTTGCTCGCGACTGCCGCAACTGACCATGGCAGAAGTGCGCAATAGCTCTAACTGTCACGTTCCCACACTGACCGATCGATCCCACCTTGAGCTTGAATGATTGCAATGACTGCAAAAATTGCTGCCCGTTGGATCTCATGGTACCGCTCCCTGCGACGTCCAACCCTTCTTCTACGCAATGCCCGGCGACGCAAGTACATCCGCGAAAAGAAGAATAGCAACATCTGACGCATGAAGAACAGAAAAAGAGCCTGTTCTCCCGCCATTTTGAAAATAGCGCTATGTCAAAGCTCGCGGCGGGTCAAATGGGGTCACGATAGTGTGGAGCGCTGCGGGAGTCCCGGCGCTGTCCGTCCCGCTCCGTGTAAACCGAAACGGTCGTACGATCGCGTGCGTACGCCATTATCGTACGCCAGGTTTTTGTCGTCGTGTAAACCGGGTCCTAGCTAGAAGCTAAAGCTGGGTGCCATCCTATTTATATACCCAGGCTCCCATACTCGCTCCATAAAAATATTTGGGAGTATATGGGAGCCCTGGTATACAAATAGGATGGCACCCAGGCAGGCTGGTTAGTACTCAGTAGTCTTGGAAAGGGGAAGTTTGTGTAACAACTGTTACATTTTAGTCTGCAAAGCTTTTGGAAACATTGTTGAACCATGGCTGGGCTTTTTGAGGGGTATACCTGGGTTTGCAAAAGAATCCGAAATAGAAGTGATATGCCAGAATGACAAGACAAAACACATTACAAAGGGTGACCCGGTCCCTGAAAAGTGCAGTCATATACTAAAGCCTGATTGCTAAGAAGACTACCTAACGTCTGCTTGGGTTTGTAGAGTAGTGCTTGAGTTCCTGTGATCATGTGCCTGTAATAAGGGCATGATTACATGGGTTAATGCTGATTACTGGTTATTTTGTCCACCGGTCACATCTGGTGGCACCTTCCTGACCAGACCCAGCGTGCAGCTTCGTTCTAACCCAGGAAACAGGCGAGAGTTTTGCCCTCGGGGCAACAGAAGTGATTCAGGAGTGGGAAATGGGGGAAATTTCTGCCTTCAGGGGACGGAGATGTAATTTACTTCTGCGCAAGTTAATAAAACGTCTCCCCGAAGAGCTGAATAACACCATGAATAGGAGGCTGTGAAATTGTATTCTCACCGAAGTCATTTTGGTAAACTGAGCTGTTGGGCTAATGTTGGACCTTTTTCCAGATATTTTCAAAGCCTTTCTATAATTTTGTCAGCTTTTCTTTCACTGTCCTGGCCTAACTAGATAGAAAATAGAAAAAGTCTAAATATAAAACATCTGCTTGACTCTAGTATTCCAGCCCTGCTGTTTCTCAACTTTCTGCCCAGTTTTGGAAGATGTGGTAAACAGCTAGCCTTTACCAGGCACCATGTATCGCTGGAAAATAGTACAAATTGGCCAAAATAAAGGGAACAGAAGACCAGGGGAGGAGCCGGTCATTTTGCGACCATTTCTACTATTTTTCAGCAATCCGCAGTGCCTGGTAGAGTAGCCTCCGTAGCAGGCTTATAGAACTGGGGGTTTGGTGGTCTTCGGCTGTTTTCTGATTAGCCAAACAGGGGTAATTCAACCAGGTCGGCTATGTTGTCTATATCATATGCAATCAGAAAATAGCACATAAAAGCTCCGAAACACCCTGAAAACCCCCAGTTTTTGGCATGCTGTGGAGGCTACTGGTAGAGGCCAGGGTAGAGGCTAGATGCTGTAGTAAGCAGCTACAGGTGTGAATGACTGGGGGAGCTGTAAGCAAATTGGTGCCAACAGGAGGGAGGTGATCACACCAGCGCGAGAACTGGACCTGCACAGCTGGGGCTTTGCACATGCAAATTTACTGCTGTGAAAGTCTTCTACACACAGTTGCATCAACTTTGTATCTGTTGTACTAAATACATGTGTTTTACACATTCTTTGACATTTTTCTTGAGCATATTAGAAATGGTTTGAAGGGGAAGGTAAAAAACAAAGGGGAATAGTACATAGTGAGGAAAGGTATATGGGATTTACGCAGATGTCAATTTTATTGCTGTGAAAGTCTTCTACACGCAGTTGTATAAACTTTGTATCTGTTGTAAAACAGAAGTACTTTTCTTGAGCATTATGAGTGATTAAAAAGGAGTACAAAGGATTTTTTTAAAAAAAGGAAGGAAAGGTGTAGGGAAATGTTTGCAGGGAAAAATCTTAGCTGCACAGAAACTTGTGGGGCTGTTTCTGTTTTTAAAAACCAGTCTTCGGTGTCTCTTTTCTTCACCAGCCAGTTTGGATGTAAAAAAAGAAAGCAAGATTTTTTTAAATGTCTAAAATCACACCAAAAATAAGCTGGAGTTTAAACCACAGCGTGGAGTTGGAGTGTATGGAGTGTACTAGTAACATCTGCCCCTGTAGGCTGGATAAATATTCACCCCCCAAGAAATTCTCAGACAGTTGTGAAGGGAAATGAGCTGTCAAGTGATGAGTTCTACGATGGGCACACAACACGTCACACGGCTTATAAATTTTCATATTCCCGGCTTGTTTACTTGGTTTCTGTCTGTGGGACACAAGACTGCAAATTGTGTTGGGTTGAGATGATGAAAATGCCTAAAATACTGTTAAAAATTCCAAAAACACATAAAAAATAAGCCAATGCCATAGCCTAAACCTCTGCTTGGAGAGTACAGATATACCAGACCAGATGTTTACTAACGGAGTAAAAAAAACTGATAAAAACTTCCAAAACACATTAAAAGAGTCATAGGCTAAACCTCAGAGAGTACAGATGTACCAGACCAGATGTTTACTTACGGAGTTGCTTGGGTTGACTGTCCATCCTGCTAACGTTGACATGGTTCTTGTGTCCATCAAAACTTCTGTGAAAGAAAATTCAAACAAGACTCAATAACAGTTACAAAGACTTTATCAGAATACAAATGTAGTAGACTAGGCATTTGTTTTCTTGTACAAAATAATGTAATTTTTATCCATAGTAGTGTAGACATATTGGTAGGCAAAAATTACTGCACTTTCAAGACTCCAATATTCTGGCTTGAATTACAACTTTGACCAACCAGAGAAGTTCAATATTCTAGATTTAATTTAAAATTGACCAACCAGCAGTCATTATCACATCTGGCCCCGGGGAAAAAAGAGAAATAAGACCGGGAAGAAAATTTATCGGAGCGCCGCGCTCACTCAACAACTCGTGACATCCTTTCGATACCCCGATAATCTCACAACATCGAGGAAATCTATATTTATTTCATTTCCAATACTGTGATTAAAACGAAGCCGAACGATTTGTGATGCCGTTACAGCGAGAACAATATACAGAGAAAAAGGATCTCCTCCTCGGATCTATAACTTTCACATGCACCAATTTTTCCTTTAAAAGTAATAATAAAGATGTTATAAACATATTTTCATTTCCAATACTGTGCTTAACGAAGC